TTTTTTTTTTTTTTTTGGGGGGGGTTTTTTTTTTTTTTTTTTTTTTTTGGTTCAGATGCAGGCTATAGCAGGGTGCTCAGTCTCTGGCCCATGGGCCAAATGCAACCTGCAAGGCCAGTGGGGCTCTCCACAGATTAGGGAATTTGGTGGTAGGGGAGTGGTGGCATTAAAAATGACCACCCTCCTCTGCTGCCAAATCCCAAACCGTGAGCCCCTTGCAACAGGTTGGGGCCAGATCATGCCGCCCTCCCCACCATCCCTGAAGCTAGATGGGGCTGGGTCACATCCCTTTCCCTCAGGGGGCTGGCTCAAGCCTCCTTCTCCACCTCCCTGCCCCATGGGTCTGGGTCAAGTCCCTTTTCCACCCCCCATAGGGCAGGGTTGGGGTTGGGCCATGCCCATTTCCATGCAAGGCTGGGCTATGCCATGCCCCCTGCAGAACCAGGTTGGAGCCAGGATGCCCCCTGTCCCCCTCCGCATGGCTGGATGGGGCCCTGCCATGACTGCCTTCTGCTGGATTGGGACCATCAGCTGGATCTGGCCCACTGATGGCCTCGGCATTGCCCATCTGGCCTGCTAGCCAAAAGGTTGAGCACCACTGGGCTATAGTAATTACTGTAAAGTTGAGTTAAGAGGACTTCATGAACTGGGTGTATAAGGGACCAAATGAAAACACTGAAGAAATCAAATCCTAGGTGAAATGCAACTTGTTGATTTCTTTAGCGCTATTTCAGATTTTAGGGTTGAGTCAAATAAATTCCACTAATGTAGCACCTGCTTGTACATCTGAACAGTGGGATCATTGAAATAGGCAGGTCACACTATCAGTTGTTCACACACTGCTGAATAACAGTAGTCAGTTAGGTTCTGTAAATTCCTTCATTGTGACTGATGTAGGAAGAGGGATGATTGTCCACACCTGTCTGGCCACTGACCTGGCCCACCAGATGTGCCAGACAGTTATTCTTGATGGTGTGACTCAAAGCCATTATCAGACCTGCTATGACTGGCTGTAAACTAACATCTCTTAGGTTGGCAGCAATGTTATATCTAGGGACCTGCTTTAATTGCCATGATATGAAACACTGTTCATGGGTTGGTTGAGGCATAAAAAGCAAATTCTGCATTTTTTTCCCAGATGTGCTCTGCTGACCCTGCCTGCCCCTCGGCATTCATTGGTGGAGAAACCTCAGCCAGGCAGGACAGATGAAAGGGTGTTTGCCATCTTGTCTGTTGGCTGCCCTTTGTGCAGCCCATTCCCTCAGTGCTGATTAGCAGAGAGACTGTGTTGGGATGAAGGGGCAGCTCTCGTCTGTTGCCTTTTGGGCCATCCCACCCTCTAGTGCCTTCCCTCCCCCAAGATGGGCTGCAGTGGCAGCGAGGACCACTGACTCCCACTGGAGAGCCAGCATTTTTCATTAAATTTTTAAAAAATTGATCTCACAGATAATCCCAGATTCTGCAGTTTCTGCAAAACTGAAATTCAGTAAACCCTCTAGTTGTATCTAGCAGTTTGTAATACATTTTTCAAACTGTGTTTTTGTTTTAATAGTACAATATCTGCCTTTCTTTGAGCATTAGACTGATTATTACTTACATCATCAGTCTGTTCACTTCAAGGAAAAGTTTAAAAGGTAAATTTACACTACTGCAGAACTGCTTTCGCATTTACAGGAAACGCACACTGTTGCTGAATAAAATGTCCTGCTAAGGTGTGTCTGTATGAAATGGCCCAGAGCTTGTTAATAAAAAAACAGTGGGATCATTTGTTTGCTTTTTTGTTGATTCTTTGAGATATAAAGAATAGGTTAATAACAAGATAGCATTTTTTCTTCCTTCTTTGTTCCTAATATAAAGGGATTCTAACTTAATCATGTGTCACAAGGCAACATGTTTGCTTACCTTTTATTCCTGCCATTTGACATGGTTAAATATAAAGAATTTTTCAAATTAAATTTACAACTAATTTTTAATTTTGACAATGCAGTAGTCAGTTTTGCTTTTGGTTGTACATAGTTTTATTTCCAGGTCCTTGGTGAGGTAATATCTGGGTTTTGGAAAGCTTATATTTATTTTTAAAGCTTATGTTTATTTTTGTTTTCTAAATTGTTTAAAAACATTTCTCTTGTCCTTATGCTGTATTCTTACAAAACATTAGTTCTGAGGCAATTAGACAGCAGCCTTCTATTACAATTTTTCAGCTACTGTTTTCTGTGATGCTTTCTGTCACAGTTACTGTCTGGACTCTGACTGTAGCCTCTGCATGATTCTCTGTCTTGCCCTTCCTTACCAGTGTTGAGGTTGAATCATGTCACTTTTCTACTCTCAAACTAGGACTTGGATAGATTACTGCATAAACAGTGACCTCTGGTATCACCGAGCAGGTCCAACTTGGATTTGGGCACCTACTTTTTTTCCTTTCAGAAACCTGTAGTAGTGGTATTGGCCAGTACTATTCTTAAAACAAAGTCTCTTTATTTAATATTTCAGTGGAACCGTTAGGTAAGAAGCATTTTGAAACAAACAGTGTATGTGCCTGTTTAGTCTTTTAATTTAGTGCTGCAAACTAGCTTAGATGAGCTTTTCCTAGGGTTGTACTGATAGAGATCTTTTTGGACTGATACTGATAGCCAGTTTTTAAGGAGGCATATCGGCTGATACCAATACTCAGCCCAGCAGCTTGATGAGCAGTGTCTGGCTGTTAAGTCTGTTGTGGTGGAAAGGGAAGGGGAACTGGCAGGGGGGGCAGATCAAGGCCCCTGCAGTGAGGGAGGGAGTGGGGTTCGAGCAGGTGCTGTCCAGCTGGGGCGGGGTGGGGTGAGGCAAGGTGTGGGACAGCCGCGGCTCATCCAGGGGGGCTGGGGAAGGGGAGCAGCCATGCAGGCAGGGGCTGCAGCCACCCCAAAATTTGCCATAGCCCACCCCAACTCCCCCCTCCCAGCACCACTGCCTGCCCTGAGTGCAGGCCAGCCCTGCCCCCCCCACCCCCACCGGGAAGAGCTCGGTGCTGCCCTGGCCCCAGCCAACAGTGGCAACCTGCCCTGCCCCGCCCCATGCAGATCTGGGGGCACATGTCCCCCATGCCCTTCCAGGGTGCGCACAGTGGCAGGAGCTGCCGTCCTCTTCCCTGTGCTCCCCAGGTGAGTCATGACTCTACCCGTGCCCTGCCCTGCCCTGCCCTGCCCTGCCCTGCCCTGGCTGGACAACACCTGACCCAGCCTCTGCCCCAGCTCCACTCCCTCCCTCACTGAAAGGGCTTTGATCTGCCCACCCCTACGCCCCTTCCCTCCCACTTCCCCTTCTACAACAACAGACTTACCAGCTGGACACAGCTCTCCAAACTACTGGGCTGCACTCCTTGCTGCCTACATGCTGTGCTGCGGCTGCGTGCATGCATAGGGCATTTACTGGCTATGTTATCAGCCATATCAGGCAAAAAATGCCAATTTCCAATGCAGTCAATCTTTTTTATGTTGGTGCCGATCCAATATCAGACCAATGTATCGGTGCATCTCTAGCTTGTATTTTTGCAAATAAAGAAAACTGAACCAGCTTTCATTGTCCTAGCAAACCTAAATCAAGCGGTGTTTTTGCTTCTGTCTTAATCAAAGTGAGTTGGGTGCTTTCACTGAAGTAGATGGAAGTTATTAAGAGTGCTTGCTTACTCTGGCACTGTCTGTTGAGGTTCCTTAAATGTAAATGACTTTCAGAACCACTTTCTCTCTTATCCAGGTAGACTTAAAGGGTCAAAGCCTTTTCCATATCTTGTAATACTATGCCTATGACGCTTCCACGCTGAGTATTGTTTAAAGCATCCTCACGTTTGTCATATGTCATACATCTCTCATGCCTGTTTTGGGTGGCGTTCCTATATTCTCCTGTCTTTTGAAGTCTTGGTTTCCACTTCTGGTTTTCAGTTTAGTTTCAGTGCAAATTCACATCTTACTGTTTTTTATATCAGGACTTGTGTATATTTTAAACAGTCATTCAGTCATGTTTTTATAAATTCATCCAACTGTTATTTGTTGAGGAAATAAATATGCTTTAATACCTGAGAGCTTCTTGAAAGTTTTTTTGTTTTTAATAATTCATTTGAAGTATTTTTTTGTAACTCCAGACAGCTGCCAGATGATTATGGAGTACTAAGCACTGTATGTCATAATCGGGTTTTCAAATGTCATGATTAAAAACTGTATACTCGCCGCACTGATTTAAGGAGCTGAAAAGTCTGTAGCTAGAAAATTAATGAATCGGGGAAGAAAAACTCTACCAATGTACTATCACTTGACTAGTATGGTGCATGGTAGTGGACCTAGGTAAAACTGTCTAAAACCTAGGTTAAAATGTTCTAACTCTTGACAGTTTAATTAAATATTCAAGCACACAGTAACTTTGTGAAAAGATGTATAACATTTTTGTGTGAATGCTCAAGGTGGGTTACAGCTTTTACCCTATATCTTGAATTAATTTACTTTGCACTTAGTGTAATGGGTGATGGTCTACTTTCATAAATCTTGAAGCATATTTATGCTGGTAAATGCCAGTCAAGATATTCATAAAATTATTCTGTAGTTCTACATCACCACAGAGATGATGGGGAAAATGGTTAACTTTGCTTTATGTGAATGATTTAAAAAAAACAAACACCTCTGATATACATGCAAATAGAACCTTAATGCATTTCTTTTTCTTGCAGTGTCTCGAGAGATATCTGTGTTGCATAGCAATAAGTGATTTTTGCAGAGCTGCTCCAATGACGGAACTATCTGCACACTTACCTCAGTTCCAGCATGGGCAGCTGACAGAAAACTTCCCTGACAGCCACCTGAGCAATACTGTATGTAACAAGCTACCTCGTTATTACCTGGCAGAATCTAAAACTATAATGAATAATCAAGGTGGATTAAGATATCAGTTAAGAGTTCTAAAAATCCGTTGTTTGTCAAAATGGTTCTTTTTGTCTTGGGTACTACAATGATAAGCATCATAGAAATGGTAATAAATAACCATAAACAAAAGCTTAGTGCTCTAAGTTTATTTTTGAATAGAAGCATATTTCTCTTGCTCTTTCTCCCACATCTTCTTAGTCATGGGACACAAATATTTGACAGGAGACTTCAAGATCTAATTTGAATCTAACTTTCAAGATATGACTTAAAGATCTAGCTTTCTTTTGGCTAGAAATCAAATCAGTTATGTTTTAGATTTGTATTTTTATTTTTGAATTAAGTATTCAGAAAGTAAGTAACTTGCTTTTGCTTTTTTCAGTTTTGGGATTTTCCTCCCATGTCCTATGCATGTTCACTTATTTTTGTCTGTTTAAAGTATATATTCTGATTGTCCACCTATCCCTATTTTCCAAGATTTTGCCTGCAGAATAAACTGCCAGCCAGTGTTGTTCTGTTTGAACTTCTGGTGAACTTGAGCATTGATACTAGTCTAATTAGGGTTTAGAGCAGGGGTGTGCAATTATTTTGGGCGGAGGGCTGCTTACCCAGTGTTGGCAAGCTGTCGAGGACCACATGGGTAGCCCTACCCCTTTACAGGTGCCCCACCCCATGGTCACCATCTTGGGACCAGTGTCCCAATGTCTTGGGACCAATGTCTCAGGGCCAGCACTGGCGGGGCCCAGAGTGGGGTGCAGGTTGGCAGGGGTCTGTGGAGCCGGGCTGGGCTACACCAGCAGGGAGAGGGGGACGCTAGCCTGGCTCCATAGAGCCCCCACCGGCCAGGACCCTGTACTCCTGCCAGGTGCTGGTCCTGGGGCACCAGTGTGGGCCCTGTGCACCTGCTCACTCCCAGCAACCTCCATCCCCACAGTACAGGTGGGGGGCAGTGTGCAGCCCCGACCCCCTGCTCCCCAGCAGGGAATGAGCTGGTGCTGAGCATGGGGGAAAAGCAGCCCCTCCCCTGCCCCATAGCTGGCGCTCCCTGCTGCAGCCACTTGTAGCCCACAGGGGAGGGGCTGCTTTTCCCTGTGCTCAGCACCAGTTTGTAACCCACCCCTGCTGCCAGCCTGGGCCCCATGCCAGCTCCGGGCTCACCTGTTGGGGCTGCGCACGACAGCAGCAGTTTCAGCCCCCCAGCTTGTCACGCTAGTCAGTGTCTGCCACCGCCACCTCTTGGCTGCCCAGCGCGTGGTCCTCCCCTGCCCTTCCCCTCCCCCATTACCAGAGTTTCCGGTTCTGGTGCAGCTACATGGTCACAGGCCAAAAGCCTCTGCTGGGACTTCTGGCTGGGGGGCGAGGCTGGGCGGGTCTTGCTGTTGTGGGAGCCTGCCAGGCTTCCCCTGGGTCCTACTGACAGGAACCAAGGGCAGATAGATACTAATTTTCTAAATTTTTTTAGGGGCCTTGCAGGCTGGATATAATGGCCTCATGGGCTGAATCCAGCCCGCAGGCCGTATTTTGCCCATCCCTAGTTTAGAGACTATTCTTCTTGTGCTACTTGAGAAGTGTTCTGTGCAGTAGCAGTACTGTCATTTATCTCCCAACATGGGAATCCTAAGTGTAAGGACTTAGCAGAAGTGCTTGCAAATACAAGCTGTCATAACTCTGTGACCATTTGGAACCCTCTGCAGAAATTGCATATTGCCATTTAAGGTGTAACACCTCCCATTGTTATGTTTTTAAATGGCCATTAGGAATGAGTTTGTTACTGCATCCACCAGAGCATTTTACAGACAATTTCTCTGGAAACTTCAGTCTTTACTGGTTGATTGATTTTTTGGGGGAGCATACTATATACAAACAATGGGAAACAAGCATTTAGATCAAAAATGTTTCTGCTTACATCAATTAAAAACACAGTTGGGGAAAAAGTTATTTTCAGTTGTACTGTATATTTATCTCCCTTGTGGTAAACAACTTAAAAATAATGACATCAGCTTAAGGTCAAGTGTTATATCTTGAACTCTATGCACAGTCCTTAACATATAGGAGGACCTTATGGTGCATACCACATGCTGTTGGAACAGTTACCAGATAAGTGGTTGTAGAACAGTGGTTCCCAGTTCTAATCAGTATATGAACTGAACTCTCCCAGCCAAATTCCATGAAACTTCCCACCCCTATTTTTGAAATTTCTTTGATTTTTATATATATAATATCCAAAAATGTGAAAGGTTTATTGCACCCAAAAATAGAGCTGAAATTTTTTACAAGGGCTGTTGGGTTTCTCATAGTGTCTTCTGCTCCTTGACAAAGTTATTTGTCTGCATTTGCAGTAAAGACCAAGTTCTTCCATTCTAATCATATAAACATCTCTGTGGCAACCATATACAGCAATCACATTCTTCTGTGTATGCAAATACTACTGTTAGGGAAATATTAATATGTTTCTAGTTGCCTTTAGTGTAGGGGATCTAGGGACCTTTTTATGTAAAAAGCTGATCACACTAACTGCTTCTCTGTTTCATTTAATCGTTCTTGCTAGTCGTATTCCTTTTGGTCCACTGCATGTGCTGCCACCTGGATCTGTTCCTCACTCTCCCTTACATGTGTTGGAAATAAAGATGATTTGCACCAATTGACTGCCATTTCTGGGCATGTTATCAAAAAGGGCTACAAGAATCACAAATATTGTTTCATACTACTGCTGCTTTTAGATTGCTAATGTTATTCACACAATAAATGGAAACTATGATAGAGGGTAGTGGAGTAAAATTGTACTGGAAACACACCCTGATTTTTTTTCCCCCAACCCTCCCCCTGCTTCCTGCCTGAGACCCTAGGCAAGATGTAATGTAATAAGCTTTCCCCACTTCCATCAGTCAGAAGGCTTAGGGAGAATAGAAGAGGCAACACTTCTTCAGACTTTCTGCAGCTAGAAAGTTACTGAGTTGCATTCTAGCCACAGGCAAATGTGGAAGGGAGAACCTCTAATCAGGCCTCAAGGACTAAGTGATCGAAGTCCCAACACCCTTCCCAGGAGCAGCATGCCTACCTCCTGCCTGTCTGTCTCTCCTTCCCCTCCACCAATTATATAAATCTTTGTCAGGATTTGTAGTGGTCTGATGAACTGGGCACTGAGACCCCTCATAGAGCTCCATGGATTAGATACCTGCTCTATTCAGCTCTAGATTCTAATGCTGTAGTCAGAAAGCACTTCAGACTGTGCTGGGAAATGCTGCAGTTGTGGACAGATCCTGGATTACAGCAAGAAGGGTGCAACCTTGCTCTCCAGCATGTCAGCACAGTTGCTGCCAGTGCTCCATGTGTGCTGTGAGTTCTGAACTCACCATTTGGTCGGCACAGATTCTTCCTGGACCCCTGCTTTTCCATGGCTTCGGAGCAGAGGGAGTGAGCCAATGTTTGCCCTTGTAATAAACCCCACAACCCCAGGAACTGGCACAGGAAGTTGAAAAGAAAGGTTCCCAACTTTATGCAGAAAATGCTGGGGATTAGGGTCACAAGACAGTGGGCTAGGGAGTAATAAACAAATGCAAGTAGATAAACATTAATGTTAAAGTACACATGCTTAGAGACTGAATAACAGATAACAAACAATAACACTGTGATGTATTCATTCAAAAACAAGGAACTAGTAACATGCACTAGTACAAAGGTACAAACACTGAAAGAATCTTATACCCCTGCCACACCTCTAGAGGTGTCCAGAACCAGTCTCTAGTCCTGAGGGCACTCAGTTTCTGTCTGCGTGTCCCTGTCCTGCTGCTACAGTCCAACAGTTCTAGCTCCATCATTTCTCCAGTCAGGCATTTCCCCTCTGCCACTGTGTGTGCTCTGTTGCTGCTTCCCGTGATTTGCTCCTGCTTCCTTTGTCTTTTGTCTCCCAGGTTCAGGGACGTTTGGGAGTTGTAGTTGCATGCAGTTAGCACAGTTTTGCAGGTCATGTTGTTAGTGTTCCCCCTGCTGTCAGACATCTACATTACAGTGCATTACATTTAGCTTACATCTTCCCTTTGTGTCTGCCTGCCCCACATCTTCCTCACTTCCCCGTCTGCTCTGAATCAGCAGCTGGGAAAAAGAGGAAACAAGCGGTGGCAGTGCTTGCCTGCTGAGCTCTGAGATTGCATGAAAGCAGAGCCTGTGGCCAGAGCCTGTGTTGATCAGCTGGTGAGCTTAGAGCTCAAGGCATGTGCATGCCACAGTTGGAGGGGGATGCCGTTGCACTGCCTTACCTCCCTGGATTAACCCCTCGCTGCAGTGAAAACATTCTTGACTCACTTGGTCCCACAGAGCATGCACCAAATACTCTGTTTAGCATGCTTAAGTTCACTGTCAGTCTGAGGGTGTATATTGACATATAGCCAGTCCTGTTGAAATAGCTGCTACATTGCATGTTTATAGTATTTTACATGGGCAAAGTAGAAATAAGTGGGTATAACATTTTCACAGCTGCACACCCTAACATGCCCTAGGTGCCATGCTTTTCATGGTGTAATGTTGGAACTTGTGCCACTGGACAAAAAGGAACTTTTTGTTTTTGCTTGGCCTAAGGCAAAAGAAGAGAGAGGCTTGCTATTGTTGTAATGCTGTGAGCTTGTGTGCAAGGAATGCAAAACTTGCTGGTTCCCGTGTCTCATTTTTGCTGGTGTGATTTTTTTTGTTTGTTTGTTTGTTTGTTTTTGGTTTTTTTGCAGCAGTAGCTTTATTAGCCTGTTGAGGAGTGATAAGTCCTGCTAGTGATCCTGCCAAAAGGATGGTGCTTCCTGTGTTGAGTCCTCAAGATGCTAGGAATAAACTATAAAATTGGAGGGGGGGATTAAAGACAACCCTCTAATACTTTGTTATAATTTTCCAGGTACAGAATGTAATTATTAGGTGTTGTCTTATATGTAGGGTTGTCTTACATTTGAGTATACATGGTAATTAG